CTGCAGTGGGGCTGCAGTGGGCTGCAGTGGGCTGCCTTGAGCTATGTGAGCGGCCGGCAGCCAGTGTGAGCGGCCGGCAACCGGTGTGAGCTGCCGGGAGCCGCTGTGAGTGGCTGACCAATGACCAGTAACCGATCTGCCTCACCCGGGAAGAGCACAATGATCATACCAACATGAGCCAGTGAAGCGAAGTTCTCCACAACTAGACTGAAGAACAAAAACAGCAATTTGTCTACCTGTCTGTTCCCCTTCCCCGATTCCCCAACGCTGTTCTCCTCCCCCAATTCCACAATAAAATCTTTAAGAAAAGAAAAGAAAATGGCTCCCCATGCCCCCCTCCCCCAGCAGTAATAGCAGAGCAGGGCAGGAGAGAGGCCAGGCCTGTTGTCACCTGCCTGCATCACAGGCCAGTCCGGAAGGGTTTAGTGGCCCACTCACCTCTTTCACAGAAATGCACGTGGCCCAGATGAGCACAAACATCCTTCCTAAGAGCTGCAACCACCCCATCTTGTGCGTCAGGGCCAAGGGGTGTGGGAGAGCCTGGGGAAAACGAAAAGGGAATAGGTGGTGTGGGATGGAGAGTGAGGAGAGCAGGGGCAGTGCCAGCTCTGGAAGGACCATGCACGTACACATGCTGAACCCTCATGCCGGGCCAGCCGCCAGCAGGAAGCCCAGTCTCTGTACATGGTGGCGGAAGGAACAACAGCCTCTCGCCCCTGCCTTCCCCACCCATGGTGGAAACCCAGACCTCTCCAGCGAGGAGCATGAATCAGTCCATACCAACAACCCTCACATCTCATGGTATTTGTCTGTTCTAGGACCCATCCAATTCCAGACAGTCACAGGGCCTCATGGCACAATTAAATAAAGCTGAAACTCTGTGGCCCGGGGAATAGGTGGGAAACTGAGGCCCAGGGTGCTGTGAAAGCTTGTCCAAGTGACCTCCTCCTCTTCCCATTTCCTGTCGTCCTCACAGCAGAAACACCTACTCAGCTCCAGATTTAAACAGAGCCTGGGCAGGGCCTGGGTCTCCTTATCCTCAAGCTCTCTGCCCAACATGGGTCACTCTGGGGCTGAGCACCTGGGACTAAGCCCTGGGACTAAGCCCTGGGACATGTTTAGTTCCCTAGAAACCGTGAAGGACAATAACTGGGAATACCCATGCAAATCTCTTGGCCTCTCTGGACCTCAGTTTCCCCATCTGTACATGAAGTGTTCCCCAAGCTCCTGCAGCTCTGATCACCCCATACCTCCCATCAAAGGACCCACATACCTCCTTCTCCCGGGGTCGGTAGTAAGAGACGAGAGTCAGGGTGATGTTGTAGAAGAAATAAAAGCAGAAAGACAGGAAGAACATGTACTTCGCAAACTTCTTCCATTTCTCACGCAACAGAGTGTGAAGGGGCTCCAGGGTGAGCATCTCATGCCGGTTCTGGGAGTAGATCACCACAGTCACCATGGAGATGAAGGGGGAGAGTGGACCATTATCAAAGGTCCTCATTTCAAAGGGAGCCCTGAGTCAGCACTGCCCCTGGCAGAGGGGCCAGTTATTATGGCCCACGGACTGGTTTGGCTGGAAATGTCAGGAGGGTAATTTCCAGCTCCTGAGGCTCTTGCCAGTGGGCCCAGGTAGCAGCCAAATGCCACAGGAGCTGAGCTTCAGCAGGAAGATCTGATGCTCAGTGAGAAATGAGGGATAGAGGGGTCGGGGAGTATGACAGGGGTTCTAACCTCAACTTGGGCCCCCTTAACTGTGTAGCCTTAGGAAAGCCCCTCTCTGGGCCTCAGTCTCCTCATCTATACAATGGATATCAATCGAACTGCCCTACCTACAAGGCTTCTGTGAGGGTCCACAGAGACCATGGACAAAGTAGGCTCTGGGAAGCACGACTTGGTAAAACGTGAAGGATGGATGGAGATCCAGTCTGCTGCCTCGCTTCCCCCTCAAGAGCCGAAAACGTCTCACTGTTGATCCTCTCTTTTTCCCTCCCGCTTCACCGACCTCTACCTCTGACCTCCTCCAGGAAAACCTCCCTAATTGCTCCAGCTGTGCCTCACTTGGGGCCAGGTTTGTGGGAAAAGAGAATATAAGCCTGGCTATCTAAGAACCAGTCAGGTGAGTGGGGGAGAAACAAGATGAAGAAGTCAATACCAACCAACCACCCCCATCCCCACACTGTCCAGGATTCTGGGGCCAGGAAACCCCACATAAGGACAGCTGAGAACATGTGGGCCCAGCACAGGTCCCGCCCATTCTTTGCTGACTCCACCCACTGAGCAAAAGAAATGGGGGACTGCAGATATGCACAGCTAGTGGCATGGGGTCTTTGCAGTGCCCCTGGAATCCTTGGCCTAAGGTCCAGCCCCTATCCTTGTCCCTTCCCCAGCCCACCAGGAGACCCACATCGATGTTGGTGTTGTAGACAATGATTTCAAGCACTGAGTTGTCTGTCATGGTGTCCACATTGGTGAGGTCGTAGAGCGAGGACGACACAGGCCCATATGCCCAGTCAGTGAACTTCCTAGACAGGCTCCGGAGCGGCTTCTCCTTTATCTCACGACTAAGGATGTACTTCAGGATCTGGGGACAGGAAGAGGAACAACCTTGAGCCACAGAAAGGGGCTTGAAGCCAATAGGGCCAGGAAGATGCTGCCACCAAGGATGGATTGAGTCTTGCCTCTGTGTCTGACGCCATGACCCCTGCGCCCGGCTTCATCTGTGGAATAGGTGAGAAGCTCACTGTTGTGCCCATCTCACTGGGGACTGTGAATATCAGAGACAAAAGGTGCAAAGGCCCTTTGCACACTGCAGAAAGCTGCACAATCAGCTCATAAAATCCAGTCCAGTGAAGAATCCAGAAACTGACAATTTTGAGAAATAATTTCTGTTTGGCCTGGATTTGAGAAGAAGCTAGAAGTTTATCCAACTTCCGCATCCACCTTCAGTCAAGACCCTGCCAGTTGAGGCTCACTGCTCCGGCCAGACAGAGGGTGATGCAAGACACCAGCCTTACAGAGAAGCCAGGGGACCCACTCTCTAAGTCAGTTATCCTCAAACTGCTGTGCATCAGGTCCCTGGGGAACATTTAAAAATCCCACACCACCAACTAATTCAATCCAAATCTCTGGAGGGGGCACAGACATTTGTGTCTTATAAAGCTTCCTAGTGATTCTGAAGTGCAGGCAAGATGGAGACCCACGGCTGTCCAACTTACTGCTCCCCAAAAGCTGAGCACTAGGATGGTGGCCAGAGCTTCCCAGGGCACCAACCCAAGGCCCAGGAGGAGAAGCTTATTGGGGAGAGCAGTGTCAGAGTCCTGATCTCACTTGAACCAGTGCAATTTCCATCTCATCTCACAGAAGAGCCTTGTCTCCGCAGCCCAGGCAGAGAGCTCCTAGGTATGGGACAGGTCTCCCAAAGACAGGGTCTGTGTTTTAAGAATGGGGGTGGGGATTAGGAGATGAGGTTGGGGATGGAGGAGAAACACAATTCTTCCTCTGTCAAAGTCATTCTCCATCGCCTCCTCCCCCAACAAGTGAATGAAAAGGTCCTTTGTGGACCCTAGCCCTAACCACTGGGACAGGACCCAAGGCCCTAAGGGCACCCGCTCCCCACCCCCCACCTTGATCTCAGACCAAGCATGGCTCCAGCTACCAATAGGGATTCGAGCTCACCCCAGCAAAAGTCTCCACCAAGGCTCCCAGTTAAGCCTTGAGTCCACAGCCAGCCACATCACACACCGCACAAGGGGCCATAAGCAGCCACGTGCTCTGCTGGGAACTTGGTTCAGAGTGTCAACCTGATGGACAGGCTGGAGTCTCTCCAGAGTTGGGGAGCAGCAGCCTATGGGCTCTGGAGCCAGAGCAGCCATTCTGGGACCCTTGTCCTCATGAAAGGCTGAAGGCCCCAAGGGTCAAACACTCAGCCTCTGCTCAGTGCCTTTCCATGCCAGAATCCGCAGCCATGAGGCATGTGAGCTATTACATCACTATAGCCTTAAGACTCTCCCATCTGATCCCAGTGGGGAGGGTCCCCGGGCAGGAGAGGGAAACATGGCGTGTCAGGGGCTGAAATCCAATGAGAGGGCCCACACGTTGCATCTCAGTGGCTCTGGGTGGCCACTCGGAACAAACCCCCCTCAGGCCACAACTGCACTTCCAAAGCTAAGGCTGAGACCTTCCCCAGGCTGAGGTGTGACCTGTGGGGCCCCAGGGCTGGCAGATGACGGAATGCCTCCCGCCCGCTCACCTGCCCCCAAGCCCCACCTCGGCCTTGCCCATCTTGGCAGCCAGCTGCAGCGGGGTGAGGCCGTCATTGTTGCGCATGGTCTCCAGCTCCCAGTTGCCACTCCTCAGCAGGATCATGTCATACATGCGCTTAACGAAGTCATTCTGCTTCTTGAAGTCCTCGGCCACTGTCACCAGCGCGTGTAGGATATTGTTGCCCCGTGAGTCCTGCGAGGTGATGTCTGTCTGCTCATTCTCCATCAGCAGTTGCACAATCTCCGGCTGGTTGGTGCATGCTGCCAGGGCCAGGGGTGTCTCACCTGGGAGTGGGGGGCACTGGGGATCAGCTCTCTCATGGACCAGAGTGGTGTTCCCCAAGTCTCAGGAGAAGACCATATCCTGACCATCTTAGCAGTATTGACCCCTGAGATTCCCTGTCCCTTTCCCTAGCTCCCCCTTGTACGGGAAGAGACTGAGGCTAGATCATTGCGATAACCCCCTAACCGCCCTCCAATACTCTGTCCTCAGCACAGCAGTCAGACTGATCCTTTTAACACATAAGGCTCACCTTACCCATAATGAAAGTTCAAGAGCTCAACTTTCAACAATAGCCTACCAGGCCTTACATCATCTGACGTTATCTCCTCCTCTCTTCTTCATTTCCTTCCAGCCACAATGGCCTGCTTCCTTTTCCTCAAACACACCAGAAATTTTCCTGCCTCAGGACCTTTGCACTGGCTATTCTCTCTGCCTGGAGTGCTGTTCCTCAGATATCTGCATCACTCAATCCCTCACTTCCTTCAAGTCTTTGTTCAAACATCACGTTTTCAATGAGTCACCCTAATTGCCCTATTTAAAATTAAAATCCACCTCCTTCCTGCCCCAGAACTCCTGTTTCTGCTTCCCCTGCTTTACTTTTTATTTTTTCAATAGCATTTATCATTTTCTAACATATTACATAATGTTAAACTTATTATGTTTATTACTGATGTTCTCTTTGCCATCTAGAATGTTAGTTCCACGAGGGCTTTGTTTTGTTCCCTGATATATTTCAAACACTTAGAACAGTGCCTGGTGTATATACAGTAAGTGCTCAAATATTTGTTAAGAAAAGAGAAGGCAGGTGACTCACACATGGTCACACAGCAACTTGAGGCAGAACCAGGACTGCACAGCAGGTCTCTTGCTGCTTCCCTCCCACACTCTCTCTCCTGTTCCCTCTCCATCCCACCTAACAAATGTTTCCCAGCACTGACTCCAACCAGGTCCAATGCTGGGCAATGGACTGGACAAGACCCTGTCCTCAAGGCCACCCAGACCTATTTGGTCTTTGAAAACCACCCAGAACAAAAAACAGGTCAGTGGTTGTCAGTCAGGAAGAGGGGTTGATTACAAAGCTGACCAGGAAATTTTTTGGTGCGATGGAGCTGTTTGTCCCCTGTCCTGATCATGGTGGTATGCATGTGTGGAAATGAACACAGCTGTACATTAAAATGAGTAAATTTCACTGTATTGAAATTACACATTAAAAAAATTGGGGGGAGGCAGCCAAGTGGCTCAATTGGTTCGAGCGCATGCTCTGAGCAACAGGGTTCCCAGTTCGATTCCCACATGGGCCAGTGAGCTGCACCCTCCACAACTAGATTGAAGACAATGACTTGAGCTGAGCTGCTGTTGAGCTGCTGGTGGGCAGCCAGATGGCTCAGTTGGTTAGAGCGTGTGCTCTTAACAGCAAGGTTGCTGGTTTGACTCCTGCATGGGAAGGTGGGCTGCGCCCCCTGCAACTAGATTGAAAATGGCAACTGGACTTGGAGCTGAGCTGCGCCCTCCACAACTAAGATTGAAGGACAACAACTTGACTTGGAGCTGATGGGTCCTGGGAAAAAAAAACACCTTTCCCCAATAAAGTTAAAATTTTTTTTTCACCTAGAGGATCATAACCTCAATTGCTTTTGAACTCCCTAACGTGTCAGTCAGGGAATTTTCGTACTCTCATTTTGACTCCTTGTCTGCAGCCCTGAGAAGCACTGAGCACAGGGGACAGAGGCCAGGACTGACGGCCAGGAAGCCTCCATCAGTTTCTTACTACACTGGGACAAGCCCTCTCCCTTCTCAGAACTGTCACCTCACCTGTGAACTAGGGCTCTCTCTCAGGTCTCTGTACCCCACAGAGGGGGCTGCTCAGGTGAAGGCTTGCTTGCCCTCTAAGACCACCAGGTGACACTACTGGACTGCCAGTTCCAGCTCTCTCCCCACCTCCCCGGCTCCTCCCTCTCTGGTACACCCAGGCGGTCCAGTTCAGATCGATCTGCCACTGACCCCTCCCTAGTCCGGGCTCTGTCCTGCCGGACATGTCTGAGACGGTAGAAATTCTCGGTGGAGTCGCCAGCCACTAGCCCGCCAGTCCAGGGTCTCTTGGTCCGCCCACCTCCCTGACCGGACCCCTACCCCGTGCTGGGCTGGCGACACCCACCGAAGTAAAAGCCTTCGTGCTGGTACTTGGGGTTGAAGAAGACCCCCTTGGCGTGGGCGTTGACATCGGCGCCGGCGGCGATGAGCAGCGCGGTGAGGTCGCCCTGCCGCCGCTCAATGGCGATGTTCAGTGCCGTCTGCCCTGCGGACAGGGTGGGATGAGTGCGGGGGCGGTGTGGGGGTGGAGGGGACTCCACGACTGGGACCCTGGGTGACAGACCCTGTCTGATTTTTTCCCCTTTCTGGCCTCCATACCCTCCACGGAATCATAGTGAAATAATAGCTGCCTGTCTGGTGAGTGTCGCCAGCTACCAAGAGTCCCAACTTCCTTCTTTGCTTCATTCATTCTTGCGTGGAAGCAAGGAATATTTATGGAGTGCTTGCTCTGCTCCTGAGCTGAGGATACACGGCACACAGGATGCAGTTTTGACTCTGGCCCTGAAGAGGCACACAGTCTCCCTGATAACTAGGTGCTAAAATACAGGGAGGTTCCAGAGTAGAGGGTCAGGGGTCTTCCCAGAAGTGGCCTCTAAGCTGCCACCCAGTAAGTTTAAGGGGACTGGTTGGGGCCAGCTCAAGGCCTCACAAGCCAGGTTAAGAGGTTAGAACTTTATCCTAAGGGCCATGAGTGGTCGGCCATGAGGTATAGAAGCAGGAAAGTGACATGACCAGAGTTTTGGTTTATATGTACATATGCATTCTCAGATCATTCTGGCTGCAAACTTGGAAGGTGTCTTAGAAGGAGGCCAGACTTATAGAACTGTGGCTCCGTTGAGAGATAATGAGGCCCCAGACCCTTAGGAGAAAGTGTCCTCAGGATGGTCTGGGGTTTGGAGGAGAAAGGGCATCTCTGGTAAGGTCCTGGTGTTTGGCCTGGGTGCTGGGTGGCTGGTGCCTGTGACTGAGGAACAGAACAGGGGACAAGCGGTAGGGAGGGAGAGAAGGGACATTAACTCTGTTAGTGGAGCCTGCAGACCCTCCAGATGGAGGGGAGCGAACGGCTGGGGCGGTAGTCTCAGAATATCCCACCAGAAACAGCATTTGCCAAAGAGCTGCCGTCATGCCATAACTAAAAATAATGTCCTGGTCGATTGAAGAACTAAGCATTTATAAAATTGGAAAATTTGTTTATAACTAGCTTTTTGGTAAGGAAAACCTTCTTAAGCAAGATCCAAAATGCAGAAGCCATAAAGAAAAATACTGACATGTTTGCTTACATAAAAATTAAAGATTTCTGTATTTTGAAAGACAGCTTCAAGAAAGTTAAAAAGCAGTTGGTAGGCTGGGGGAAATATTTGAGACATGTAAAAGAGACAATATGTTTTTAAAAGTCCATAATATATTAAGAGCCCTACAAATCGGTAGAAAGACAATCTAAAAGGAAACTGAGACAAGAGTATTAAGTACCTCACAGAGAAGAAAATACACATAGCCAATA